CTTAAGTCTGTTCTGTCTTGGGTCTTGATTCAAAGGTGTTGGGAGATAACTGTATTTTCAGGAGCCATCACCTTCTGGAGGCCTTTTATTTTATTGTATTTTATTTTTTAAGAGTTGGAGTCTTGCTATATCACCCAGGCTGGTCTTGAACTCCTGGGCTCAAGTGATCCTCCTGCCTCAGCCTCCCAAGTAGCTTGGACTGCAGGTACATACCACCACGCCCAGCTTCCTGGAGGCCTTGTAATGAGACTTGGTGTCTCTAGGCACAACTGATACCTGGTTGGAGGATTCTGAGTACACATAAACTGGGGAAGGAATCCATATATCTGTATCCTGATGCCTGAAAATTGTATTTTAGTTATGAGCATCTGACAGGTTTTATTCTAGGCAGTTTTGAGGCTGACTTCCGTGGGTGGCTTTTCCATAAAACTGCTGCTGTGTATTATGTGGAGTTATGTGCAGTGGTGTGTTCTTTGGAAATGTAGCTTGTACCTATTGGGCATACAACACAGGACACATGACAGTGTACAGGATGTTATTTTGATGGTATTCGACAAGGTCAAGGTGTAACAGGTTGAGATTGTTAAGGAGCCAGGTCACTTCTCACACAGTGAGAATTTTGGGGTGTTGTTCACCTTGTCCTTAGGGCAGGAGTAAGGCTTTACACCAAGGAAAACAGAGTTCCTTCTGGAAAATGGACTGTTTTAGCATTGGCTTTTTAACAAAGGAAAGCTTCAATCAACCAGAAAAACTATAAACTATTACTAGGTAATCATTTGCCACATAACAGGTCGGTCAACAATGGACTGCATGTATGGTGGTGGTCACGTAAGGGTCACAGCCATCACGGTGTCCTAGCACAGCGCGTTGCCTTTTCTATGCTTAGATGCACACATGCTTATCATAGCGTTACAGCTGCCTGCAGTCTTTGTTACAGGAACATGCTGTGCAGGTGTGTAGCCTAGGAGCAATAGTCTGCACCACAGAGCCTAGGTGTGTAGTAGGCCACGCCATCTAAGTTTGTGTGCACGCAGCCTGTGATGTTCACAGTGATGAAATTGCCTAACAGGCCGGGTGCGGTGGCTCACGCCTGTAATCCTAGCTCTCTGGGAGGCCAAGGCGGACGGATCGTTTGAGCTCAGGAGTTCGAAACCAGCCTGAGCAAGAGCGAGACCCCGTCTCTACTAAAAATAGAAAGAAATTAATTGGACAACTAAAAATATACAGAAAAAATTAGCCGGGCATGGTGGCGCGTGCCTGTAGTCCCAGCTACTCGGGAGGCTGAGGCAGGAGGATCGCTTGAGCCCAGGAGCGTGAGGTTGCTGTGAGCTAGGCTGACGCCACGGCACTCACTCTAGCCTGAGCAAAAGAGCGAGACTCTGTCTAAAAAAAAAAAAAAAAAAAAAAAAAGAAATTGCCTAACAATGCATTTCTGAGAACGTCGTTAAGCGATACACGACCATGTATCTAATGAAATCTAAGGGGGAGCCTAGAGCCTTGCCTTTTCCTGGCTTGTGATAATTTAAGGTAAGGCAATTCTCAGGAACTCTTTGAGTTTCTCAAGTAAAATTTTCCCACCAATATTTTTGTAAAGTCTGAATGTACCTATCTGTCTCTGTCATTTTTCTTGGTGGTTGTAGCTTTATGTTACGTATGCGTGTGTTTGCACATGCATAAGTATCAAATTTGAAGATGGTTTTGGGTGAAACCAAGCCATTTTGAGATATGTAAGGTAAAATAAAGAGAAAAGATGATAACTAAGTTTCTCCTCCCTCAATCTAGAAAAAAAATTACATATATTATCTTTGTAATATCAGTGGCAAAAGCTATTGAGAGCTGTTCATTTGCATGAGTCAGAGAAACTGCTTTTCTCCTAAGGGGTTTTAATCTTACAATTGATATTTCTTTCAGAAGTCTGATTTCCTCAAAGTCATTGATTAATTTTTGATGTTTTAATTGGGGTAACCACAAAAGATAGAAAACTTTTTTATTTTCATAATGAGACAAACCCCGAAAGATTATCTACTATTAATTCAGATATTTATTTTTGAACATCTAGTGAGATGACTATCTTAGAATGAGCTGTTGTAACGATGTTTGTAACAATACTTACAAGTCACACTATATCAATATAAAGTATACCTTCATTATTTTAAGCATATGAGTCATTATTGAGTTATTCATATTAGGATTTATCATCAAAGCAAAACAAAACGAGGCAAGCTTAGATTTATTTTGATAGTCAAGGTTTTTTTTAAAGGGAAAGGAATTAAAGTAGCTTGATTTAGATTGGAGTAGTAAACAGTTACATTGGAGGAAGACAAAAGAATTTTATGTATGTGTAGGGATGGTGTTTGGCACATATAACAGGTAAGTAATTTGTATAAACATTAGTTATGGGTTGAGAGGAATGTTCAATAATGGACTTAGGAGCATTTCTAAATCCCTAAAACATAACCTTGTCTTTTACGTACAAGTGAGTAAGACTTAGCACAGGTAGAAATGTACAAAGTCAGGGTTGCTATACTAACTAGTTAACAAAGAAAATGGCTCATTTAGTTTTGAGATGTTTTCGTCTATTTGGTTGAGCTAATTGAAATATGGAGAAGATCAACTATGTGTAATTATTTTAGAAGCCCTTCCTTTAAGTTAAGAGAATAAATACCCAATGGCTATTTAGGTAACTGCAAAGGTATTTAGCGGTAAAAGAGATCTAACAGTTTCATTGTTTTGAGAGTGAGAATTTAAGGAAGAAAAAAAAGATTTGTCAGAATTCTTGAATCTTTTTCATCATTTAAAGCTTTTTCCTTTGACTTTAAAATATAATATGGGCATATTAAATACAACAATGTATATATCATGCTTAGTTTGTGATATTAATAAACTAGCAATTTCCTTAATAAGGAGACAGAATATGTATTTCTCTTTGGCTATTTTACCTCAGGTAGTCTCAACCCTTATTATTAGTATTACCTTTAGCCAAACAATTTAGTTTTGTTTCCTCTAGACACAAGGAAAACTATTAGAAGGAAATGACCAGGAAATGTCTAGCTTTCTGTCTATCAGAGCACATTGTGTCTCCTGTTTATAATTATGTAAATGGCAGAAATGAACATGTACATTAGCAGCATCCAGACGCATTTCTGCTTCCTTACAGTCATCACACATTGTGAAAATGAGAACGAAGGATGAATAGGAACTGCTTAGTGACCACTGTTTTCATTTATCTTAAATTGAACAATTATTCCAAGATTTTGTAATATTTGTCTAAGATCACAAAGGTAATTAAGGGTCTGGAAGTCACTGTGTAACTACTCATAATGAATCTGTATGGCATGTATTAATAGCTTTATAAGAATCTTTCATCTATCATAATTTTGTTTAGTTAAATATACAGTTTTATAATTTTATGATCTTTAATGAAGTGATGTTAATCATCTAGCCAATAAAAATAGTAGAAGTTGTTTAGGAAATTCAAAATAATTAGGCTTTTTCTGGGACTTGTGTGAACTAGAATTTACTGCTAACATTTTAAATGGTGGTAAAATCACAGAGCAGTTTTTAAACTAAAATTGTTAAAGCAATCTAATTTCTCAGTCATCTTGATTAGAAGTACGGATTTTTTTCTTATGTAATTAAAGATAATATCTTAAATTTTTGCCTGTAATCTCAGCACTTTGGGAGACCAAGGTGGGAGGATCACTTGAGCCCAGGAGTTTAAGACCAGTCTGGGCAACATATCGAGACCCCTGTCTCTACAAAAAATTTTTTAAAAAATTAGCTGGGCATGGTGATGTGCACCTGTAGTCCCAGCTACCCGGGAGGCTGAGGCAGGAGGGTCGCTGGAGCCCAGGAGTTGGAGGCTGCAGTGAGGATGGTGAGGCCACTGCACTCCAGCCTGGGTGACAGAGTGAGACCCTGTCTCAAAAAAAAAATTTGTTTTTTAAGTTATTTGAAAGAATTTTTGCTTTTTATCATGCATCTAGTAACTGAGGCCATTAATTCAACCCACAGTTGAAATATTTTCCCCTTCAGTTACAATTTTAATAAGAAAAAGTTTCTCAAAAAGCTATTTCTGCTATTTTATGTTTCAAACATAAATAGGAAAAAAAGTTAAAACTTTGATTCTTTTTTACCTTACTTTTCATTTACTTATTTACTACATTAATATTGTTTCTAAAAGCCAGTTGGAAGTAGGATTTTATTTCATTGCAGATTGATATGCTTGTAATCTCATTTAATAATTCCCTCAGGTAGAAGAGGCTTATCAGTTTATTTGCCTAAAAATAATACAGAAAATGTATAGTTAGAGAAGCCGGTTATAATAAGCAGCAAATGTAAGGTAGAAACAGAGGCGCTGGTTTTTATTTAGAGTGTAATTAGAAAACCAAGTTTTACAAACGTGATTTATCTTTTCTTGCTGGAATGCTCACGAGAAGGCGTACACAGATCTCGGTATAAGTTACTTCGTAGGTACGACTGGTATTTTCTCCTGCTCCCCAAGCAGAGGAGCACCTGTTAGCATTGATGGAAGTGAATCCCGTGCAGGAGTACAGGACAAGTATTTTGACAGCTACGAACTAGGTCCTTCCCACTAGCTGTGACGTTCTTTGTCAATGTCTGGTTCTAACAAAATTGAGCAGTTTGGCATGACCTCACTAATGATTCTCTCTGACCATTTTAGCGGTTTGCTGCTGTAATCATGAGAATAAGAGAGCCACGGACCACGGCGCTGATTTTCAGTTCTGGGAAAATGGTGTGCACAGGAGCCAAGAGGTAGCCGTAAGGAACTCATTCTCCTGGTCTATGGGTTATGAAAGAAAAGGTGATATCTTATGGTTTCTAGGTTATTAGGCTAGCACTTCAACGTTTTATTGTTGCTTTCTTATTAAAATGGTTGATTCTAATCACTTTAGACAGCAGCGATTTCAGTCTCTTAAAATCAGGCATGGTTTTGTTCATGCATTGCAATGGTTATTCAATTCAGTTGCATTTTTTATACATTTGATATAATACAACATCAGAACTATTAATAAAGATCGTTTTATGTAAAAGAAAATTTTTATATAACACAGATTCATCTCCAAGTGAAAAAAAATTGATCAAGAATCACAAAACGTCAAAGCTGATGGTGTCAGGGCGTTGCAGACCTTGTTGACTCTGACAACACGACAGCATCACATCTGTTGCTCACAGAAACCCACCATCCTTCACGGGCACCAGTTTTAACGCTGAGTGTTTGAGTTATGTGGGTCTTAAGGAACGCACCCCACCCATAAGATGCTGTTGCCTGTATTCTACATCTGTTTGGAGTGACCCTGTCCGAAGGTAGCACTCCGGGGAGTTCAAGTACCAGTCAAAAACTGGGAAAGTTAGTAACCTTAGCTTCATAAATCTTGAACAAACAAAATAAAACTCTTTAAATAAAAGATGATTAAAATGTACTTGGAGGTGTCAACACACAGAGTGGCTGTGGATGTTTTTACTTATTCTGAACTTTGAAATTGTCGTTTAATGAAGGGAATGCCGTTGGTGTGGACATTCTGGCTCCTGGTCCCTGATTTTTTTCAGAAGGCAGGACTTGGGTCTGTCCTCCTCCTTGGCTCCAACATGCAGTAGTAACTATTTAAGAGCCTTTGTATTTGCTTGTTTTCCCCTGGATGAAACATCAGAAACTTTTGGTTTATTAATGGATGCCAGATGTTTCTGTTTTTTCCCAAAACACGCTTTTCATGCAGCATTTAGCCCTCTTTGTCCCAGAGCATCTGCAGACTGACTATTGTATATCTAGTTGGATGATTCTTTTATCAAGACAAGAAACCACAAATAAATTAATTTTCCTGGTGGGGTGGAGGGCACTGCCCATATACGTGCCTAACTCTCATCCTTCCTGATCCCTTGCACGTGACTCTTGCATTCATGGCCTTATTGTTTGCATTGTGCTTTTCTGAAATAAGCTCTAAGTTACTAAGTCGTGGTTTTAGCCAACAAATGACATCACAGGAATGGATAAAGGGAGACTTGATATAAAAGACAATAGAATTAGTGAATGCATTCTCCAATAATAAATCTCATTAATATTTTCCTGTCAAAATGAAGCCTGTTAGTTTCATCTCAGTAGAAATTTATGAATTAAAATATAAAAGCAATAATGATGACATCACACTTCACATCCTTACAATCTAGGCTATCAATAATTTGGTGAATTGATGGGGTGATCATTTTGGTATCCCTACAGTCTTCTGTCAGGGACACAGGAATACTTAATAGGCAGGGCACGGTGGCTCATACCTGTAAGTCCCAGCACTCTGGGAGGCCGAGGTGGGAGGATTGCTTGAGCTCAGCAGTTCCAGACCAGCCTGAGCAAGGAGACTCCGTCTCTACTAAAAATAGAAAAATTAGCCAGGCGTCGTGGCACATGCCTGTAGTCCTAGCTACTCGGGAGGCTGAGGTGGGAGGATCGCTTGAGCCCAGGAGTTTGAGGTTGCCGTGAGCTAGGCTGATGCCACGGCACTCCACTCAGGGCAACAGAGCGAGACTCTGTCTCTAAAAAGGAATACTCAATAGTGAAATTGTTAATGTTGTTCTTTTCTCTTATTGGAAGGGAGTTGACCAGTTTACGGTCTGTTTATTAATTTTCTAATTTGGACTTTTTATAAGTTATTTATCTAAATAATTATTTTAGCTGGGTTTGAGTGTAAATAATTCATCTTTTTCCTTTCTCTAGTGAAGAGCAGTCCAGACTAGCAGCAAGAAAATATGCCAGAGTTGTACAGAAGTTGGGTTTCCCAGCTAAGTTCTTAGACTTCAAAATTCAAAACATGGTGGGGAGCTGCGACGTGAAGTTCCCTATAAGGTTAGAAGGCCTCGTGCTTACCCACCAGCAGTTCAGTAGGTGAGTCTGAAGTGTGTTACTATTGCTTTTGGCAACAGTTCATTGATGACCCATTTAGGGATAAGACACATGTAAAATGTTGAACATGTAGGAACAAATTATGTCGTAGTCGCATGTATTGTCACATTTTCTTCCTTATGTCCCCAGTGGTGTTTATCACCCTCACCAGCTCCCGGCTTCCCGGGCCACCTGGTAACACCCAAAACTCCCCTTTGCTGGAGTGAATTTGATTCCCCTTCTCTATGTTTTATCATTTTATTGCTCAATAAATATACTTTAAATGCAAGAATTGAACCTACAACCTCTTGTATCAGTTTTTTACCCTGTTTGAATCCTTTTACTTTATAGCAGACCCACCAGCAAAGTGTAAAGTTGAGCAATAGGAACATTCTTTCCCACTATCTCCCTGCTAGTTGCAGGTGGAGACTCGGGGCAGATCCCCGCCTGCCACGCAGCCTCATGCCTCCATCCTCTCGTGCTCTCTGCCCACGTGGTGCCCCATGGTGCCCTCTCGCCCTGGGGCTGCGCTCATGCCCCTGGGATGCCTGGCCCACTCGTCTCACTCTCCACCCGGGAGGCTCCCGCTGGAGCTGCAGATGTCCACCTGTGCCGCTCTTCCTCAGAGAAGCCTGTCCTGATTCCCCAGGCCAAGCGCACACCGGACTGACAAAAACGAGTTCACTAGGGTTAGAGTAATATGGACCAGTAGTCATTCGGTCAGACAGTTTAATGGGGATAGATTCATTCTCAGGCTAGACTCTGATGTACCACTTTGGTTAAATTACCCAACCACAGTTGACAGCTAGAGAATATTTCAGTTTAAGGAGGTGGAATATGATTAAAAGGTAAACGGTCACTATCAGATCTCAGAAATATTATTAGGCTAAGTCGCTGTCCCTAAAGTTGTCCATAATGAATCTTGACAAGGATCCGAAACTGCAGAACATAAATACAAAGCTCTTGTTCTTATGTCAGAAAATTCAGATTCAGTAGAAATGGGGTAACGTGAGAGCACAGACGGCCTCCTATCGACTAGCTGGTCATCAAGTGTCGATTGCTATTTGAAGAACTGTACTTTACCTAGTGATTAGTGTGCTGGTTTATTTAGCATTTTTCCCTCATACAGGTCCTCATTTTTTCTAAAAGCATGGGAAGCTCTTAATTTCTAAACTATTTTTGCCATTTTCCTTCTAGTTACGAGCCAGAGTTATTTCCTGGTTTAATCTACAGAATGATCAAACCCAGGATTGTTCTCCTTATTTTTGTTTCTGGAAAAGTTGTATTAACAGGTAAGTTATAACAGAAAGTAGCATCTTAAAGTTTGAAAGAATGTCAAGGATGGCATTTTCTCAGTGCTGGAAAGAGGTCTCAGTGTTGGACAGTGCGCTAGCTTCTCGTACAGAGGCCCCCAGCCTGACAGTCTGGCAAGAAACGCCCCTGGAGGGCCAGAGTGAGAGCCGGAGGTCTGACCACAGCCTCCGTCGACAGTGTGGGGCAGGGGAGCCGTGCACTGAGTGAGGACGGCGGTTTGGTTGGGATTAGTCCCCTGAAGCCGTGGGTCTCTTAAGCACTGTCGCGAGACAGCAAGGAGGACTCGGAAGAGCATAGCTGAAGGCAGCAGTCCAAGAGTGGGATCAGGCGTTCTGTCCCCGTCAGGTCACGGCCTGGTTCAGGACCAGGGAGAGGACGCGCCCGTCTTGGAGAGCTGAGCCGTAGAGTGGGAGGCTGGAGCCACCTGGTGCAGTGCTTTCGCACTTTCAAAAACCATTTTAAGAAAACAGTGTTTTAAAAACAAAAACAGGATTGTGACAAGGGGTGCCACCATTAATGTTTTGATGCCTGTGTCTGTTAGTTTGGGTATGGAGAGATTTGTGCTTGCAGATCCGTTTAAAGATAGTAATTTTGCCTTAATATGTTTAGAAACGCCATTTCAGACTCACATCTCCACTCCAACTTGTCTTTGTAGGTGCTAAAGTCAGAGCAGAAATTTACGAAGCGTTTGAAAACATCTACCCTATTCTAAAGGGATTCAGGAAGACAACGTAATGGCTGTCACAGACCCCGCCTCCCCCACCCCTTGTTGTTTTAAACAAATACATTCTGGTACCTTTAAGTGGTGATGTTGTGAGAAGGTGGACGTGCGGTTGCAGGTGGCGGCACCAGGTGATGCCCCTCTGTGCGCCCCCGCTGCAGGGTGCCGAGAGGGTGTCGCTTGTGCACTGAGAACACCGCGCAGTCACCGAGAGCTGCTGCTGCTGCGCTGTTTATTTATATTTAGATTCTAGACTCTGCTGTTGACAAGTTGGTTTAAGGGACAGAACTTCCAGTGTTAAAGCCACCTCTACAATTCATTGAACTTTTTAATTTTTTCCCGTAAACCACAGTTTTTATATTTCTATCAGAAAAGTAAAAATCTTTTTTAAAAGTGTTGTTTTTCTAATTTCTAACTCCCAGGGGTTATTTCTGTGCCAGACACATTCCTCCTCCCAGTATTGCAGGACAGAGTAGATGTATTGATGAAAACAAATGGCTGTACATATTTTTCTTTCTTCAGAGTACTCTGTACAATAAATGCAGTTTATAAAAGTGCTAGATTGTTGTTATAAATGATACCTTGTAAGAGTCATGTGATCATACTGTTTAAAAAAAAGTTGTATTTTAGATACAATGCCTGAAACCATTTTGGCGTGTGTTTGCTTGTTGTTTGCTTCAGTCACTGTTTATGAAAACGGATGAACTGTCTGAGATCTCACAGTTGCTCCGCAAACACGTGTCTGTGGCCTTCCCTTTGGAGCACCTCCTGTTCCCGGGTCCTTTGCATGCAGTGCTGGAACCCTCACGGAGCGGCAGGTGTGGCTCCTCCCTGCAGGGACTTGCCCGAGGTTACTGGCCAGTAAGTGGCAGAACCCGGTGCTGTCCAGGCTGCCGGTGCTCTGGTGTAACTTTTTTGGTGAGAGTTTTTTTATTTGCTGTTGGTTTTCCTCATGGAATGTCAGGTGGACATTTGTAGGTTCTCAGGTTTCATTGTGAGGGTTTTGTCGTTACTGTTATAAAAGTACATTTTCAGTCCATTACAGGTATATAATTAGAAAGGAGAGGTCTCTCCTTCCTCTCCCTTCCACCTGTTTCCCCAAGGTAACCACCAGATTAGTGCGTGTCTTCCAAGCCCTGTTCTGCGCAAATTCTATCCTCTGGGCTTGCTTTTGATCCCATTTTTGGAAAAAATACTAAAGAATATATTCAATTTTACAGCTTTCCCTTTAGTCAGTATATCATAAATGTATTAATATTTCCATGATTGGGAATTAAGGTACTCTTATATACCTTCATTTATTGAACCATTCCCTTAATTATGGTCATATATGTTATCTCCAGTTTTACACTATTTTGAACACCACTGTAGGGAACAGCCTTGTGTGTGTACTTTTGTGGATAAATACTGGTATTTCTGTAGTAAACTTTTCTAGAAGAGGAATTGCTGTATTAAAGACTATTTATACACCCTAAGTTTCGATAGGTCGATAACCACACTGCAGTCCAAAGAGAGGGGGATACAGAGTGCCCTTTTCTTGCGTTTCCCAGTCCTCAGTGATGCCAGCAACGCGTGGATTCGGAAAGACATTCCAGCGTCATGTCCATCCCAGAAAGAAGTGTCTTTTCATGTACGTAGGTCCATATGTGTATATTCCTCAGTAAAGTTTTATATTTTTTTCATACAAGGCTTTTACATTTTGTAAAAGTTAATTCCTTAATTCCTATTATGGTTTTTGGTTTATTAATGGAACTTTTTCATTAATTTTCACTTTAAAATTTATTGTTGTTTGTCTTATTCCCAGTTTACTGAACTCATTACTGCTATTGATTAAGTTGATTGTATTGAAAGTTCTGGCGTGTAATCATCTGTAAATAGTAATTTTTATTTTTTCCTTTCCAACATTTCTTTCTCTTATCTCAGTGGGTAGGACTTTAATGTGTGTAACTTTTTGGAAATCTTTCCTTAAACTTTGAGTTGTAAAATACAGCACATACAGGCAACCTAGCAAATGTATGACTCAAAGGCAGACCTCATTGCAGCCATCACCAGGTCAAGAAATAGAACTTGCTGCCCCAGAAGCCCCTTGTACTGCCGGCCAGCCACACCTCACTTCCCCCGAAAAGGAGCTAGCATCCCAACCTTTGTAGTAATTAGCTAAACATTAATATAGGTTAGTCTTCCATTTAAAGGTAACTGGTGTTTTTATGTGTTTTAATCTTTAAGTTCCCCCTTCATCTCTTTTCCTTCAAATTTGCAGGCCATTGAGTGGGTGGAGCCTCTCAGAGTGTGGGTTTTGCTAGTAACAAACTCATGGTATAGTTCAGTGTGTCCCTCTATTCTGTTTTCCTGCAAACTGGCAGCTGGTGTGCAGTTGCAAGATCTGTTAATTCATTAGTGAGCTGCAAAATGATGAAATTTCAATCATTTCTTTTTTCACTTATTAGAATATTTTTATAAAGCGATGCACGTCATAAATGACGATAAATGTTTGCTCCTTTTCCTAATTCAAATTCAGAACTATAGGATTTTTATTTAACCAATTCTGTATCATAGATGCTTTTACACTGAGAATCCTTAATTTTTAAGAACATGGGGGATGAATTAGAATATCCCATAATTACTAATTTATAGTATACATGCAACATTCTTAAGAGTGGCAAAATACTACCACCAAGATGATTTGCCAAGAACATTTAAGCAGTTTTTTGCTGTGATCTCTGAAGTTGTCAGAGGGTGAGACCAGCACTCAGTATCGGAAGTGCAGAGCTGACTGTTGCTCTCTACGGTAGGGGAGCTGCTCTGGCTGAGCAGCGTCTGATCCCAGCAGACCTTACACCGTGCAGGGGGAGCGTAAGGACCGGCCACCGACACGTCTGTGGAGCTGTGGCTGTGTGGGTGAGACCTGCTGATTTGATCATTTTGTGGTTTTCAATGTGTCTTGACATTTCTAGAGGCAACCGAGTTCCTTAACGTATTTTTTATGTTGTATTATTTATAGTTGCCTTTTTAACACAGTTGGCAAGTTGGTGCTGCTTGGGACCAGCCTGTCTCTCTCTTTTGATACTACCTGTTCCAAGCAGAAAGGCCCCGTGAACTTGCAGTCATCTCAGAGGCTGACTGGACAGGCCCTGACAGCTTGGCTGGGTGCTCCAGTAAGCCCACAAAAATGCTCAGGGCATCCTGTGATGTCCCTGTAACAGCTTGTACCATAGAAAGACCCTAATGCGTTTGCTTTAAAAGCCCTCATTGGGCAGAATGTACACATTTTGACTGCAAGGAATTATTTGTAATTTGGGACATGAAGGCCCCACTAGTCGAGTTTTCAAGCCACTGTGCTTCCCACTGAGCGTTGTGACCAACTCTTGCCACTGGCTGATGATGAAAATTCCCTCCAGTAGCCATAGCCTGACTCCCATCGACAGCCACCCCAGGCTCAAAATAATGCCATTCTCTCATTAAAAAATAGCCATGGGAATTCCACACTGCACTTACCCATAGGGTGCTATGTGTAACTATATACATGTCGCTACTAATATCAATTATATATACACAGTATAGACTAACAGGCCAGGACTTTCTGATATACAAGTGTGAAATAGTCAAGTAGCCAATGACTTTAGAAAGTGATGTTACCTTTAAAAAGAAGAGGATTTATGGTGGCAATGCATTTCAGAGTTAACAGGGATGTTTTGTGGGGGAACGCGAGTCCATGTAGATTAAAGAAATAAGCAGAAAGTTACCAGAATGAACTATCATCACTGGTGTTGAGAGAATTGGGGATTATCACCAATGGTGAACTGGTAGGGGCTGGAAGGAACCTCAGCGAGGTCATACTTAGGAGCCACTTGCTTAAACAGAAACAGAATGTCCCACACTTGGCTGACGCAAGGCCTGCCTTCCCTTGCTGGGCTGCTTCCTGGGCCAGCTCCTTCCTCTGGTTGCAGCCCACAGCCCGTGAGGGTGGGAAGGGATGTGTGTGCAGTGCCGAGACGGAGGGAGGACGCCGCTTGCCGTTCGGTCTCTCACCTGTGAGCAGGGCCACGGGCTGACCAGCTGTGAGGTAGAACCTCTTCAAATTCAGGTTTCATGACCACAAATCCACCGTTCTTCCCGATACTGCCAACTGTGGGCCTGCTGCTTCAGAATTATCAGTATCTTGTTCACCAGACCCACCAGCTTAGTGAAGTGCAGTATTTTTCTCATGTTCTGGGCTTCCAGTGCGTATGAAAGCGTTGGACAACGAGCTGATGATCAGACAACAGTTTGTTGGGGTTTCACCTATTGTTCTTTGTTTTAACTTTGCAAACTTAGAGGGGGAGGTGCTCTAAAGAGTGGTCTGACTTAACTTGGCATATAACCCATTTTTATTATAGAAATGCACATGTAAGTGAAAAGATCATTTTACTTATTCCCACCATTCACAGGTAACAGTTCACAGTCTTTCCAGATTTCTGTGCACATGTACAAATATTTTTACAAAAATATGGTAATACCATGAATACCACCCACAGTGGTGTCTAGTGTCAATTTAGATCTGTGTGTCTTTTGGTGTGTGTCCACATGGGTGTGTATCATTGAGACTGTGTGGCCTTCCACTGCAGAACAGCAACATTTAATTCCCTGTCATTGGACATTTTTGTGTTGTTAATATTTAGACACTATAAACAATACCTCAAGCAACAGCGCTGTATCTCTGTGCCTCTATTTCTGGTATAATTATTCCCTTAGGATAAAGGCCTAGAAATGGAATTGCAAGGTGTAAGATGCCTTTAAGGTGTGTCTGCTACATCCTGCTTCCACACAAATTCCTCTGTGTAGCCAGTCCCCAAGCTGCAGCTCTCGGCACAGGTGAACACAGCCAGGATGCCCCAGTCCACACTCGTGCCCAGTCTGTCGGCCTTCAGGTAATTGAGCAGTTGAGGCATGACCTGGGAGGAAGGTGACAAAGTTAGAATGCTGCTTCAGGGCAGGAAGCACCATCTGCATTCAAGAGACTTTCTCGGCCAGGGTGATTATCGGGATCCTGGCCTCTCAATCTCCATACTACACAACAGGATCACAGACACTATACAGTTAACATATTTAATAATCTAAAAACATTTTGCAGCTTCAAAGCCCCTCTCTACTTCATCTGGCCTTCTGTTTAGTGTCTCTTTTCCATTTCAGAAAGAAGTTCACGAGTGGCTGTTAAACTGTTTTTATTACTGATATGCCACAAAATGGTCCTGAAGCTTCTACTTGGGCAAGTCTTATTTTGTATCATATAAAACCTGAATAGCAGATGTTGTGACTGTCACTCAAGAAGCCCTAACCCTAACTTCTGGTAATGAGTACAGAAGGGCGTCTGCTGACATTTGTGTGGACTAGAAAGGGATCTCTCTGAAGTCAAGTAGTCTGATCTGAAAGCATGAAGCAGCAAAATTGCCACCACGGTGTGAAACTGCTTTATACAAATCCTGTCACCTCATCCTGGGCACCAAAAGCTTTGGCACTAAGAAGTAAACAGTTTCAGCCACGGTCCTCATGATTCCTTTTTTTTCTAGTCCAAAGAAACAAACGTTACCTACAACTTTGTAAGGTTAGTGAAGCCACAGCTCAAGAGCATTTCCACCAAATGTGGAAAGTCCACCAAAGTCCCCAAATAGACTTTAATGCCAACAACTCCTTTGTAAAAAACACTTACCTTAATGCTTGTATCCATTGTTCTAACACATCCACAAACCAAGATTAAACAGCAAAGCTTTTAAAATCCTCCTTTCACAAAGTACGAAGGCAAAGACTTGAATTAAAAGTAACCACACTGGAGGCAGAGGGCTACGCGGTGACTCCATGGAAATCCTCATCACAGGAGTCAGTCTACAAAGCCTGAAAACTAGGAAACTGACAGATACCAGAAAAAGGAAGCTAAAGAGACCAGCAACTACCAGAAAAAGCAGTGAACGACAATTCCCTCGAGAGAACAATCCCCAAGGTTGGAGAGAAAACTGACTTTCATTACAGGGTGCCCTCCATGCTGCCACGTTGACCATGTGCATGTGTTACTTTGGTAAAGTTCTTCATGTTTAAAACCAAATCCTGGTGACTACACACTAAACAGTCCTTTTGTAAGGTCATACCTGGAATTCAAATATCCTCTTGGCACCACAGGGGCAATCTGGAATATCCTTTTCTTGAGGGATATTTTCACCAGAAATCCAGATGGGGGCAAGACCTCTGCCATATCTGAGAATCTAAAATCAACAAGGATCGTGTCAAAATTGTGAGCACCTTAGCTAAGTTTCCATCGGTGACATGCTGAAGATCATGCACAGAAACCCCACGTGTTCCACACCTGCCGGAACACTGAGCTGAAAGGCATCTCAGTCCTAACTGTGAGCACCACCGATGCCCTCTCAGTTTCCCAAAGTGACTCAGAGGGTATCAAAATTGCATTTCCTAGATGATGCTTTTTCCTACCTAACATGAGAATCTTACTCCTGTTAGTATATGGCAAAGGGAGCAAGAATAAGCCCAGGCTTCCCATCACCAGGTTCTGCATCCAAAATGCTGCCCAGAATCTGCTCACCTTCACTCACCTATTAGGAAACTTAGTTAAAAATTAAAAGGGACAAATGCCAAGTGAAACATGGTGTTTTGACAAATATCACAAACATGGGTAAATTTCATTGTAATAAGCTTGCTGTAACGACTGAGGAGTTTTCTTGTATTTTGTTAAAAAGCGTATGCATTGCTAAAAACTGCCTTCTTACTGTTTGGGACCTAGATCTAGTCTTCCTATAAGCCCCTGGATTTTATTTAATCCCAGTGACTGGTCTATGTAGCTGAGTTTTCTTTAGTGATTTATGCTTATGGTAACAGAAGTTAATGGGAATAATGTTAGCACATTGTGTTGGTTTTACTAGCCAAAGGTACTTATTGGAAAATGGGCAAGAATAACTTTTTTTTGGTCAATGATGCGAAAGCTCTGTGTATCTTAGGCAACATCTCATTCATGTCCTACCCGAGTTACTGCTTCTCAGAGATTATGCTCATAAAACATGGCCTGAAAAGAATACAGTTGGGAGGTATGAGTTCTACTTTACCTGTTCTGGTTCACAGGCTATTTGAGCTTTAAACTTCTGGAAAATTTTATCTTCCCTGGATTCATGTTTTGCCATGGAATCTAGTTCCTCCTCCAGTGCTTCACCTGAAAAATCAACATAACTTATGGAAAACATGAATAGTCCCCACAACCTGACAATTCACACATGGTGAAGGAGCCCAGTTTTATAATAATCAGATAGCTTTCCCTATTTATTCATTAAAGTTGGACCATCTGAATTTCCAGGTACTCCGTGCAGCATTATTTAGGCTCCCATTCAGCAGTTTGCCTTAAAGCTTCGAAAGAACAGAATGGCCAAGTCAAGGGCTTAGGACTGTGCCCGGCACATCACACAGGACACCCAACAGACAGTGAGCCCTTCTTATCACTGCTGTCCTGAAGCTAGCTGACTCTTAGTTCAAGTCTCTTCATGTCTCATACGTTCCTTTTCCCAGCTAGTACACGCATTCACCTGGTCATCTAGTGTTCATTTCCATCTCGACCTTAACTCTTGGAATTCCCGCCACCCTGGGCCACTGCTGTCCCCAGCAGGCCAGTGTTTCCCAGTACAACCTTTAGTCTTTGTAACATTGATCAAAATACAACTCTGGTAGACTCTGAGTCAGATAAGCTGAAACAGCTGCTTTGATGGCATTGGCAAAGCGTTCACGGTGCTCACTGGCTCCCGCCAGGCCTGATGGCAGAAACGTAAAATGCCTTCAGGGCTTCGTAAATGCTGTTCCCTCAGGCCATATGGCCTCCTGCCAACCTTTCTCCTGGGAACTCAAACTCAAGTCCCAGGACACAGCTACCTCCAGGTAGCATTTTTCTTTTTAATTTTATTTTGGAAAATTCTGAGCGTATATAAAGAAATACTACAATGAATCTCCATGTACCAATTAGCTTCACCACTATCATTTCAAGTCCAGTGTTTCTTGTCTCTACCACTTCCCCCAACTCAATTACTCTGAAGTAAATCGCAGATCACTTCATCTGTGAATAATTCAGGTATGTACCCCTAAAAGACAAACTCTTTCCCTTTACCAATTTTCAAAATAATGAGTTTGTTCCCCAGTATCCTACAAAGATGATCACTGAGGTTTTTTTTTTTTTTTTGAGACAGAGTCTCACTGTGTTGCCCGGGCTAGAGTGCCGTGGCGTCATCCTCGCTCACAGCAACCTCAAACTCCTGGGCTCAAGCGATCCTCCTGTCTCAGGCTCCCGAGTAGCGGGGACTACAGGCATGCGCTACCATGCCCGGCTAATTTTTTCTATATATTTTTAGTCATCCAATTAATTTCTTTCTAATTTTAGTAGAGACAGGGTCTCGCTCTTGCTCAGGCTGGTTTCGAACTCCTGAGCTCAAACAATCCGCCTGCCTCGGCCTCCCAGAGAGCTAGGATTACAGGCGTGAGCCACCGCGCCCGGCCTTTTTTATCATTTTAAACCCATTAAATAAATTTGATATGTTTTAATCCATTGCAGTTAGTAGAACATTCTTCTGGATGTTCAAATTAACCATCTTTTGCCAATAAGAGCCTTTCATATTGGTTCTTGAGTCCTTCTGACATGACCCTATTAACCTTTGATAGCTTCCTAGATCTCTGGTATGACCATGTTCCAATGTTATTTGAACGTTTCCCGACCCAGTTCTGGAATCAACACCTCCCAAAAGAGCTTGGAGTTCCATTTAGAGAGAAATGGTATTCAGACACCACCATCCGGGCACCAGGGATACCCACTGCTACTGAGGTGGCCATTATTTCTATGCCTTTATAGTGGATTAAATACATCGCAAGTTCATAACTGATAATTCCAATATAAAGTCAGACCTATAAGTTTGTATTTAATTTTATCCATCAACAACATTATTCTACCACACCCAACACCTCAGTTCTCAGTAACTCCGATGTAATTACTCCTCTGCTTAGCACCCAGTACGCACACAACCACCTCAAAGTAACAACAGCAACATTCCAGCAAGGTTACTGAAAATACTAACATTTTCTTTCAGTTCTTTTCATTCTTGGGGTATATTACACTAAGGATGTACTGTCCTCTTTTTTGAAGTCATTTAGAAGAGTTCTTTGTGTGGTTATGCAACGAATTCCATACAATCTCACTTACTTTTGATGATTCAGGACTGCTTTTTAAAACTTAATGTCACTCTGTAACCACACAAAACACACACACAGTTCCACAGTGACACCCACATAAACAAGGCATACTCAAAGTCCAGCTTTTATCCTCAACCCTCCTACTCTATGCTCTCCTTTCTCCTGTAAGTGAGCATTTTCATTATTTAACCTTTTTAAAAACAAGCAACAACGTACACACATGAAGATGCACGCACGGCCCCTGCCGGGCAATTTTTAGTGATGTCACACATCTTCCCATGGCACCGTATTATCAGTCATCACATGGACTTTAACTTCCCCAAGTATCATCTGGGCTCCTCGTGAGACCGTGAGCACCTGACCACTGCAGTGTCGCTGCTTCCCGTTGTGTCTCCCTGATCAAGCACACTCAGGCACGAAGCAGACCCTCAAATATGTGCTTCGGAATGTATGACTGTTATGAACTACAAACCAGTAAGTTGACATTTTCATTTAGATTCTATAAATCTAAGTTTGTGGTGGTTGTGTGTGTAGCTCTAGTTCTAGAGTCAGCAAGATCTAGGCTCCAACTTGAATTGTAAAACTTAACAGTTATGTGACCAAAGCAAGTTACACCCAGAACCTCAATTTTCTCACCTGCAATATGGGTAGAGTTTCTGACTTATTGGGCTGCTGTCAGGATTTTAATGAGCTAATTAATGCACAAACAGCCCTTAAACAGCATAAAGTAAGTGCTAGATAAATGTTGGCTACTATTATAAAATAAGTCTCTTAAGTATTTGGTCAGCCTAGGCACTGCCCTAGAGTGTGAACTCGGGGTCAACTGACAAAATCAAACTGTTGATTGAGTTGAAAGAGAAGATGAAGGAGAAACAAGTTGAAAGAGAAACTTTTAAAGGGCTCCTGCTGCATGCCAAACACCATGCTAGCCATTCACTCCCTCGAGCTGAGAAACAGACCCGAGACCCTGAGGAACTCACCATATTCCCAGCGTCTTGTGCAGCTCCACCCTCAGGACCATCTGGATTCCTCCTCCAGTCTTTGCAGGGAGCAGAGCCCCTGACTGGAGCCAGGAAGCTAGGTCCAGGAAGCATGTTTTCACCTGAGGCAGTATCTGAAAACTACAGGTTACAGCCTCCAAAGTGAGAACCCTTTCCTCTCCAGTCTCTCTCATCTCAACATACTGAGCCCTTTCTCCCAAGCACTGTGTTTAATCACTTGGGGAATGAAGGCCTGAAAGTGCTCACCCATGCTGCCCACAATCTCTGCAGCATCTTCCTTGTCCACAACTTCAGGTATAATCTCATCTTCTGTTTCTATTACAATTTCAAATTCCGGAAAAAGGAAGTTGTGGTCTGGAATTGCATGGTCCAAATGATCTAAAACAAAAAAAGTTACTAGCATCATTAGTAATCATTTAGATGTGAAGATGGTCGAATAATTTTATATTTCTAAAGTATTATATTCCATACACCAACAGCTTTCCCTATTATTCTTAATACATGTGGTTCTGGCACTTTTAAATGGCATCAAATTAAATGCCTACATTAAGGCAAGGCTGGTAGCATAACTGGGTGATTAAGACCTCACAGCCTCGCTTTTATAAAGATATTCATGCTGCCAGTTAGGAAAATTTCAAAACGTATTATATCTTTTCTAATTTTAACTTTAAAGTTAACCTAGACATAAAATGTTTGGGTTGACAGAAGTGAAACTGAGCTGCGACTAACAAAAGACAGATGATCAGACGATGACTTACCCGGCTGTGAACACGCCTGCTTGTGTCCTGATCTCCAGTCGAGAGCCTGATGCACCTTACCGCAGTAATGTGCCTTGTGGCATCGGGAGCATGTTTTGGGGCCTAAACAGCCACAAACCCTGCAGAGGTGAGCGCCAGACTTAAGCTGGAGGCACACAGATTCTCCTGTTTCTGGGGGAAGATTCTCAGAAGGTGGCTCATAAGAGTAAAAGTCATTTTTCCTTGGTAGCTGATTCCTAAAAACTAAGAAAGAATGAAGACGAAAACTATAAATACCTTCAGTAAAATAGCAATTCAAATATTTGAGCCTCTACTTCACATAAGACTGAAAAGACACCCATTTAAAAAAAAAAAAAGAGAGAGAGAAATGAAAGTTTTTGCTTTCAGGAAGTTTATTTTCCGGAAGGGAGAAAAGCTTTTAAAATCCAGAAACTAGATTCTGTCTGGAACACACAACTGAACCGGCTCCTGGACCCGGTTCCAGGTAATCAAACAAGAATAATCATTAAGACAGACTGCAGAAAAATATAAAAATGCTATCGGGACCTATCTTTCTAAAAAAGAATTTATATTATCTGACTATACCAACCAAACCCAGCACCAACTGATTCATCAAAACGCTGGAGGTTACGAAGGAGCGTCGGCATCGTTAGGAGCTTATTTAGTGACAACGAGGCCCTCCCTGCAAGGACTCTGGAGAAAGTGCTGCCGGGGACCGCGGTGAGGGAGTAGGGAGGAGGGCGGCAGCTGCGCCTAACGCCGTCCGCCCTCGCCTGCCCCGGGAACTCCAGCTCCGCGTGCCACAAGCAAACATCAGGCAGCACGGCCCCCGAGGGTCGAGGGCGCACCTCGCAGGCCGGCGCAGCACGGCGGCTCCCGGCAGCAGAAGAGGAAGAGGCCGCGGTGGAAGGCGTCGGCACGGCCGGGCAGCGGCGCGTACACCTGCAGCAGGAAGGCGAGCGGGCGGCCGCACCGCGCGCAGGCCAGGTCCCCGGGCCCCGGCAGCCCAGCCTCGCCCAGCCACGCCGGCCGCCCGCCCACCTTGCTGGGGAACTGGTCGCTACGCAGCCGCCACGCCGGCGCCTCCTCGGTAAAGCCCAGCTCGACCCGCGAGGCCAGCGCGGCCATGCGGCCGTCGCCCACTGCCAGGCCGGAACGCGGAAGTCGCCACCGGAAAGGAGGACAGGAGGCGGGCAAGGCGTCGACGAGAAGCGATTGGAGGACGGGGTGAGGAGGCGGGACAAAGGGTACCTCCGGGATTGGGCCCGGCCCTCGCGCCTCTACTTCCGGTCTGCGCCACACGCCTCCTGGGGGCGGTGCGAGTGCCGGGGAGGGCTGAGAGGGGCTGTCGCCTCAGGCTGGCCCGCGGTCTTGTTCCTGGACGCGGCGCACTCGGGAGCCAGGTGGCTCTGTGCGAGGAGCAGGCGGTGGGAGACGACGGGGCGGTGGGGCGGGTAAACCGAGGCCTGTCCGCGGGCCGCGTGCGGGGCCGCCGGACTGCGCAGGGTTAGGGTCAGGCCGCGGGCAGGAGAGGAGCGGGCGCCGTCTGTCGGGTCTTCGGGGCCTCATCCCGCGGCGGGAGAGCGGGCGTGGCTGCCCGTCCAGGTTCGTTTGCCCGATGGCCAAGAAACCTGAGTCAGCAGGTTTTACGGCTGAGAAAGCGTCTTTATTCCGTGCGCCTAAGCGGGAGACGGGAGACATTTCTCAAATCCGCCTCCCTGAGAATTCGGGAGACAGGGCTTTTAAGGATAGTTTGGCAGGTAAGGGATTAGGCAATTAGGTTCGTTAAGTAGAGCAAAATTAATAGGGACGTAGAAATCATCTTGTGGCGTTTTAGTCCCTGGGGTCACAATTACAGTTGAGTCAGTTTCTTGGTATGGGCCGCTGGTCTGGGTGGGTTAATCAATCCACTGGAATGCCGGGCCTCGAAGATACCTTAAAAACTACCTTTAGGTTTCGAAAAGGTGATGTCATCTATGGAGAAAGTTAAGAATCTTTATGGACACCAGCTATGGGGAGAAGTTGAGAACATTTATGCCCACCAGCCGTGTGACTCTGGAGTGGCAATTACAGGGGGACGGTTATTAATTATTTTTAGCTAGGCCCGTGCATTATTTTTAGCTAGGCCCTGACGACGGTTCTTGTCGTGCAGCCCGTTATTGAAGGGCTGTTCCACCGACCAAGCCGCTTGCAGCCGTGTTGACCCCTTTGGGAGGACAGCGCCCTAACAGCCTCATCCCCTGGAATAGTCCCACCCTCAACGCTGGCGGCTTGGAGATTCAGTTTCCAGCACATGAACTTGGGGAAGCACATTCAAACCGCACCAGGACCCCATAGCGTAGCACAGGCTAAGAATTCTTGACACGAAGAGTAGAATAGTTTTAAATAAAGTTTGTTTACTTCCCAGGGGAGTGAAAGGCTCAGCAGGAAGGAAAGAAAGATGTGCCGGCCCCTGAGGCTAAAGGGGCTCAGAGTCTGTATGGGGAAGAAAAGAAGGAAAAAGGTGATCGTTGCCAGCTGATAGCGGAACATGGCTGCATCTGTTTCCCCCCTTTTTCCTCTTTTCTGTGAGGCTGGCTTCTCAGGGTCCTGGGAGTGTGGTCTGGCCAGAGCTGGGGCCGGCGCGTCGCACTCCTATCTGTTCAGACTGTTAACAGAAAAAAAGCCAAACTCTGTAAAGTAATTTTAAAGAGATTTACTCTGAGCCAAATTTGAGGAGCATGACCCAGAGCCACACCCAAGAACGCTTGTGCAAGTGGACTCGCTGTGGTTGGGTTACGTTTTATACATTTCAGGGAGACGGGGTTTCAGGTAAAGTCATAAATCAATACATGGGCGGCGCACGTTGGTTTGGCCCAAAAAGGTGGGCCATCTCGAAGCAGGGGCTTACAGGTTAGAGGTGGGTTTAAAGATTCTTTGGCTAGTAATTGGTTAAAAACATGAAGCTTTGTCTAAAGGCTTGGAATGTTTTAACGTAAGGAGCTGTTTATCAGAGACAAGCCACTGGACATAGATTTGTTGGGTAAATTGAGGACCTGCAGGTGTATCTTTGCACACCCTTAGGCCTGTTAATGGGTTACAAAGGATGTCCGCAAGAAGGGAGGGGGCAAGATGAGGCATGTCTCACCTCCCTCCTCCTGGCAGGCGATTTAGTTTTAGGATGTTCCTTTGGCCACGAGGGGGTCCATTCAGTCAGCTGGTAGGGGGATGGGCGGTGGGCCTTAAAATTTTATTTTAGTTCACAAGATCTTCTCAAGTGCTGTGAAGACAAACTTCACAGGTGGCTAATCTTACAGACAGTGGGTTAAGGCCCAGGTGGTCAATCGAAGTGGGGCTGCTGTGCTGCGATCTTTCCCTTCCAAGGGGCAATTATGTGATGTTTTCTCCTTTTTTTCTGTTGATTTTTATCTGTTAGTTTATTCGCAAGGCTGCCCTATCACATAGTAACCAGGTATTTAGGATGTACCATGTGCGTTTTCCACGTTCTCTTTCAATCCTTGAAACCACAGCGGTGGGTTTTACCGACCAGCCCCACTTTACCCGGATAATGAGTTTGGTGTTTAAGGGGCGCCCGAGGTCACACGGAGACAGGGAGGAGCTGGAGTCCAGGCCATGGCGCCCAGTCCCATGGCAGATAACCGGCCGCGACGTTCCGGCAACTGCCCCACGCCTCCTCCACCCTCAACGCACCCTTAGGGCGCACGGAGGGCGGTGGGGGGGTACAGGAATTGGGAAGTGGGCGGAGCTGCGGTTGCCATGGCAGTGACCTTGGGCGTGGGGAGCAAGCCCGACCACTAGCCCGTGGGCGCGCGGGCGCACACGCAAACGTACAACATGCGTGCGCGCGCGCGCACAGCCGCTCCCCTCAGACCCCCGGCGGAAAGGTTGAGCTAAAAGGGCGGGAGGGACAGACACGAGGGAGCCGCACCTCGAACGCCCAGACGACGGCCGCGGACCCCACCCGCCCCTGACCCGGCAGGGAGGGAGGCTGAGGGCCGCGAACGGCCCAGGTGAGCGCCGCGGGAGGACAGGACCCCAGCTCAGCCCCCGCCGCACCCGCTTCTGGGCGCTAACGGGCTCGGCGTGGCCTCCGGGGCTCGCGGGGCCAGCAGGGGTCGGACGTCCGAGCCGTGGGGGTCGGACGGGGCGCGGGTCCTGGGCAGGCGTTGGGCGACCCGGGTGGGAGCGGGGACGGCTCCCGGTAAGGCTTCGAAAACGGAAACGCGAACGCTCGTTGGACGGTTGCGGGAACCTGCCGTCGGGCGGGGCTCCCTGCTGCGCCGGGCGGCGAAGGCGGCGGTTCGCGGGCGCTCGGGCGAAGCCGGGCCGGGCCCGGAGTGGCGTGTGCACGTTGCCAGGCCAGCGTTTGATGTTTGTTCCTTATGGTTATTTCAGGAGTAAATGATGAAAAATTTACCTGGGAGAGGGAACTGCTTGAATTGCGCGTTGTTCCCCGTGCGTGCAGGACGTAGGTTAATCGTGCGCACACACCACCCAACTGAGTGTGTGCCCAGTGGCCTTTAAAAATAATAAATACAAGACTCCAAAGCCCTGAAACTAGGTCATGTTTGTCTGGCGAGTTCCGGGTGTGAGGCTTCGTGTTCCGTGGGAGAAAAAAAGAAGGATGCTCAAGTTGTTGATGTGCCGAAGCGGTCACGTGTTTGTAGTCAGCCTGGAGCCCACCCAAGCGAGTTCAGCTCTGACTGCGGGGGTTGAGGAATCGAGTCGATCCCTTGCCACCCCCGCAAGTTTGGAGTCTCCCTGAAAGTTGCCTAGACTACTGATTGTGAGTAACCAGTGCTTTTGCTGGTTTTTTGTCTTTTAACCTTTCCGCTATCATAATGTATGCGTGTATGCCACTGTTTACCAAATGTTAGAACGAATTATTCGTAGTGGAACTCTCCACTTTGAAATGATCAGGCGCTAACTCTGACATACTGTGTTTTTTTAATGTTTGAAAGTTGTTGGGAAATTTCAAATATAATGGCTTCAAAGTGATAGGCATTTTTTGGAGTATAAATATAGCATAAGATATACCAAGTGGGTAATGTATTTTAAAATTTAAACGTCATTCTAAAAAACGCCCTGGTTTGCAAAAAGTACAGGTTGGGGACAGCTGAGGAAATGGCAGGAGTCTGCAGCGAAGGGTAAGAGAACAGCCTGTGAATGTCCTGGCAGCCTCAGCACCTGCAAACTTGCTCCTGCCCTAAGCATTTCTGATATGTGGGTGCTTTTTCTGTTGATCATGGATCTTTGGCTATTTGTCATTTTTCAAAAAAATTCTCTCAACAGAGGATCCTCACTTCGAAATTGAGTCCTGGTGGCATGTAGCCAGGGAGGGTAGGAAAGGTTTCAGTGCAGAATGTAGGGGTACGTTAATCAGTTTGGAATCTTGTTAATTCTGTACAGTTACTTTTGTAACTGGTTCTGTGTGTGAGGTCCTTTTACATCTTGCTCTGATTGGCCATTGTTGACTTATGTCTGTATACAATCCTATAATGGGGTACTTAACCTAAAACAAACCTAAAACGTTATTTCCTGTAATATTTATTACAATTTATGTGTTTCCTTCTTCCTTTTCTCTTTTTAAAGGGAACAATAGAATTGGAAAAATCAGCACTTACTCAGCATATCCCCCTCTTATTGGTCTTTTGGACCTTGGTGGCATCGTGGAGGTCCTGTGTTCTTAGAGATGAACAGTCTTGAACAGTTTACTCCAGGTAATAAACATACGTGGGAAAGTAATTTGAGGTGTGCGTATCTTGATTTTTTTTTTTTCTTTCTCTTCCCATTTCTGTTTACATAGCAAGAGCATACTGTTACGGTTCGGAGTGCGAGAAAAGACCACTTAAGACCGAAACTGAGCCAAATTATGAGTCTTTATTAGCTGGCCAGCGACTACCCTCTGCACCGCCACAGACAGCTGCACAGAGAGCAGTGCCCAGCCAGAAAAGCAGGGGGTTTTTATACTATTCTAAGTTAGAGCTACGTGACATTAGGCACATGAGGTGGAACAAGATTAATTATATCATACATTCCATAGCTGTGGGGTCTGGGACCAGCCTCAGATCCCCTGTGCTTACTACAATCTTTAAGCAAGCAGATTTACAGAAGCAGATAGCATCAGTTAAGTCAAGGAACATTCTATCATGAGTTAAGCAAGCATAGTCAAATTTACTATAGGCAGCTGGAAAGCTTAAACCATCGGTTACAAGTTAATTACCTTTTTTTTTTTCTGTCTTTCCGAGGTACGTTTTTCATTGCAGACATAGGTCAAGCAGGTCATAGGTCAACCAAGCAAGCAGGCATAAATTGCAGAGTGGCCCGTTACAATACCTTGATTTTTTTTTTTTTTTTTTTGAGACAGAGTCTCACTGTGTTGTCCGGGCTAGAGTGCCGTGGCGTCATCCTAGCTCACAGCAACCTCAGACTCCTGGGCTCAAGCGATCCTTCTGCCTCAGCCTCCCAAGTAGCTGGGACTACAGGCATGTGCCACCATGCCCGGCTAATTTTTTCTATATATTTTTAGTTGTCCAATTAATTTCTTTCTATTTTTAGTAGAGACGAGGTCTCGCTCTTGCTCAGGCTGGTCTGGACCTCCTGAGCTCAAACAATCCGCCCGCCTCGGCCTCCCAGAGTGCTAGGATTACAGGCATGAGCCACCGCGCCCGGCCAATACCTTGATTTTTAAAAATAATTTTTTTGAGCTTTTGTGGTCATTGTTGAAAATAAAATAATTCATTGACTTTTTTTGTGAAATGCTGTACATTTCTATTTTACATTTTTAAAATATCACTTAATTTATTTTTCAATTTTTCTAGTATTGCTTGTATATTCTACCACAAATGCATAGCTTGTTTTTCCCGCGACATTTTAAGAGCTTGCTTGAGGGGAAACAGAAGGGTAATGATGCTGGGGTGAGTGTTTTACCATATGAAGGCAGCTGTGCTCTACTTTAAGAAAACTGACATTTAAAAGTTTAAGGTTACAAAACAAATTAACAATTGCTTGTTTATATTATATGAGAATTTTACAAAAGGGATTCACTAAAATTTCCTTCAAATAATCCCTTTATATGGTACTTACCAAATATGATTTGATTTATGATAAATCAGTTAGCATACAACAATTTAGGAACAGATTTTTGGCATATGTAGGGGTTATCAGTGTGTTCCTTGAATTATCTCTTTCCCAAAAGTGTTGGGGACAAAGTTATATTCAGTGTTGTCCACTTACATGCCATCTATTAATGGTTTAACTGAGTGGAAAAATTGTCATCTGACTTATGCTGTACGATTTAAGGAGTACTTTGGAACCTAATTAAAATACTTTTCACCATTGAGTAAAATGTTATGGTCAGTTTTGTCAGGACCCTCATCCAAGATATTTTAGTTACTGAGGTGTCAAAAGCACCTTGTTGTCAGATGCTATCACTCGGCTGGTGGTCCTGTGGCAGAGGCCAGCAAGTAGTTTTGCACAGCCTTCAGCAAAATCAAAATACATAGATTTGGTCTAAGGACCACAAGGAGTAAAAACCGTTACTTTGAAATTTTCTTCAAATTTATTCTTCAAAATTAAAGGCTTAATTTTCTTAAGCTATAACTCTATTTGAGCCACTGGTGAAAAATGCTATTTTGATAAAAGGACGACTGTGTACTTTTTCCCCTATGTGTTAGTGCATTCGCCTTTATTTGGAATCACAACAGATAGTGAGTGAAATACTTGGGGAGTTTAATTCAGAAATCATTTTGCCTTGGTTATGTAGAAAAACAAAGGAATTTGAGTTAACATGGGTAGAACTTACTTGTGGGTTAGTTCAAAATTTATGTGGGAATAAAGAGGAAAGGGAGAAAGTGGCCACCAACTGTATTAAGGATAATTAATCAAATTTAGTTTGCTTTATACTATTTATAACCAGTGACACTAATTTTAGAGAAATACTATTCTTAGAGAAGGGATTTGAGGGATAAGAGCTACGCTTGCAGGCATATTAGTGGTAAAAGTATGTTCAGGGTCCTTAATAGTATTTTCTGTTTTTGCACATTAGACAGAAAACAAGAGATTATTTTAATGCTGAATCTGGGTTGAGAGCCCAACTTTGGGATAGTGGGCACAGTTTTATTCCAGCGTTAACTGAATATCATGAAGATTGAAGGAACAGCTTGAATGATGCCATTGATTTTTTTTTTTTAGTATAGGCTCTTAGTTCTTCAATTAAAAAAGAGTAAAAACGAAGATCAAAGAAGATACATTAAAAGAAATGTTTTAATTTTTTTTAAATCCCAAGGGACTGTCTCAAAGGATTGCTAACTTCATGAACATAGTAAGGTATAAACTATATTACATTGGATTTACGATTAATGAGGACACAAAATTTTAAAATATATGCAAAAGCAGTAAATATACTGCTGCAGTTTTAAAAATATTTGTGCCAAGATACGTGAGAATAAAAGTTACAATTAGAAAGTTTAATTGGAAGTTAAGGCTCATTTATGTTCTCTGTTTCATTATTTAATCCAGTGTCACTTTTGAATGTCACTTAATTGTTCTCAGTGTTCTTTTCAATAAAATGTAGTCTATAGTGCAATATACTTTATGTAAACTAGGTTTTCAACATAATATTTGCTAGACTTCTTAAGCACAAAATGTTATCTAATACTAATATGTACACTTAAGTACACTACACGGGATTTTAAAAAGTTTAGACCTTATAATCTGCAGAAATGTGGGCAACAGTTTTTAAAAATAAGAAAGGCTGAGTTCAGAGTTTTAGTCTTAGATGACCCTGTAAATTGCATTTTCTTTTTTCTCCCTAAAGGGTTTTCTTTTGCTGTTACAAGCTTATATTTTCCAGTCTCCACTCATGCTAGTAGTAAGTGTTGAGTCATCTTCTCTGTAGCATCAATAGAAAGTTCATTTGTTAAAACTGTGCTTTTTATTTTTTCCCAGCTGTTCCATCTGGGAGATTGTTTGAATTTCAGTTATTGAATGCAGTTTAATCAGAAGTTATTCTAAATAGGTCATTACAGTTTTCACAAACTAGGGGAAAATATAAATTTATCTTAAGATAATTTATGAATATTTTTGTATTCCACAGTGTGTATAATTTAATATTTCTGTTAGCATTTGTTCTAAGTTAGCTTTATTTGATATGTTGTCAAAATCAATGTAGAAGGTGTACAGTCTGTTTTTTAAAATATCTATTTGTGGAATATTTGTCAGAAGGTCCTAAAAAACTTGCCAGTCAGTGAACGAGTTGGAAATTTTACTGTGAAACCTTCTAATTGAATATATAGTTAAAAGTGTGATATTGATACTGTTTTGGTTATTTTATATGTGAGGATTTTTTTATATGTTTCTGTGGAACTGCTCTTAAGTATGCTTTTACTTTGATATAAACAGAAACTTCTGTAAAAGAAAAAAGTCACTTTGTTCTTAATGGTTACATGGTAGTCCTCAGACTTTTTATATTTGAAAGACATGGAAATGAGTAATTTCTTAAGCTATTTGCTTAAAATGACTAATTTAGTTGGAACATTTGATGTAATTTATTTTTACCATGGTGTAGAGTTACTTTATCCCAAACAAATTTATAGTGGGATCATTTGCTGTTTTTTTGCAAAGGTAGAAATCTGAAGTAGGCCCACAGATGTTCTGTTGAAAGCTAAGTGTTCTTCCACTGCTCCACTTGACCAGCCTGGGGGAAAAAAAAAAAAGGAAGAATGCTAAGTGTTAGACTGAGTAAATATCATATGGAAATGGATTTTTGTCTTATAATGACATTTATATTGTTTCTATCGAGCATTTCTTAAGCATGCCTGTAATTAAATAAATTGTATGTGCAGATCAAATTATGTATTGACAGATTTAATTTCTATCCTATGCTTCTCTCCCTCTTTCTCCTTTTAATAATTGTCAACAGCTAGCCTCCAACCACATGCTATATGAGAGAATTTTTAAAGCATGATAGAGTGTTCCATGGTGGTGATGGTGGTTTTCTAGTGTTTTAGCTGGTGGAGAGAAGAAATGATAACTATCTGAGATTGTTCTGTGCCCTTAATGTGTATTAAACATTGTTTGAACATTTGTTTTCAATCTACTGCTTATAAGGCAAATGACACTCTAAAAATTGAGACTGTTTAAGTGGTTACGTTCCCCACCAATGTTAGTACTCAGAAGGAGTAGGGTAAAGGTAGAGAGAAAGGTTATAGGGATTAGTTTAGATTGTATAAAGTGTAACAGTTTTATTATAAAACATGTTAAATTTATCATCGTATACCTTCTTCTAGGGTTACAACCATGCGATTTAGCTAGCCCTTCTCGCTGTAAAGCATCAAGAGTTGTGAATTGCCAGGAGAGTCATGTGTATCTTTAATCAGTTTTACATGTTATTGCTTAGAACATATTAGATGACTATTAGGAAGATAAGCAGTTTTCACACTGATTATCATTTTTAGTGATCACAGTTTATGAGTACCAAATTTTATTAGGTGGGAGAGAACAGATGTCACAGCTATAGGTTGGGGAAAGATTTTTAGACACAAAGTCATTGTTAAGAAAATTCAAGGTTATTGGTGTTGGACAAAATTAGTTATACCAGTTACATTCTATCATCTTCCAGCACTGTACCAGTTTTGAATATTCTGTGGCCGTAAATACACTAGTATTTGTCCCACCAGGAATCCTGACTTTTAGTTTAGAAAATGTGATTATTTAAATTATAGTTTTAACTCGAGTGAAAAAGCTGATAATTTATCTTCCTTTTTATATTATAAGTTTTTGTCATTAATTTTGAAGACCTAGTACTACATGCTTAGTTCCTATAAGATTTATAATGGACTGACTCTATATAGGTGTACTGTTTTTTTATCTTTTATACAGTATTTTTACTGTCCCTTTTCTATGTTTAGATACATAAATGCTTACAATTGCCTACAGTATTCACTACAGTAATATACTGCACAGTTTGTATCCCAGGAGCAATAGGCTGTACCATATAGCCTAGGTGTGTAGTGGGCTGTACCACCTAGGTTTGTGTAAGTATACTCTGATGTTCACACAGTGATGAAATTGCCTAATGGCACATTTCTCAGAATGCATCCCCATGGTTAAGTGACACATGACTGTATGTAAAAGTATTTAGTAATGCCTGGCAAAACATAGATGTTCAATAAATTTCTTCCTTTTCTATGAAATCCCACAATCATGAATGCTACGATGTTGAAGCTTAACATGTTCCCATATGGCTTCCTAAAACTGAATGTTGTCATTATTTATCAAACATTTCCCTGGATAAATACATCATGAGCTTCCACAGTGTTGCTTTTAGTAGTGAGGGGTGTGTTAGCTCAGCTGAGTCAAGTCCTGGTGAGAGTCCATATTGTGTCACTTGACTTTTTTCATCTGCTTACAGTAAATAGTTTTTAGGTTTTTTCATAGAGCAGCCCTCACCTAAATTTTTTTTTTTTTTTTTTTTTTTTGAGACAGAGTCTCACTGTTGCCCTGGCTAGAGTGAGTGCCGTGGTGTCAGCCTAGCTCACAGCAACCTCAAACTCCTGGGCTCAAGTGATCCTACTGCCCCAGCCTCCCGAATAGCTGGGACTACAGGCATGCGTCACCATGCCCGGCTAATTTTTTCTATATATGTTTAGTTGGCCGATTAATTTCTTTCTAATTTTAGTAGAGGCGGGGTCTCGCTCTTGCTCAGGCTGGTCTCGAACTCCTGAGCTCAAACAATCCGCTCACCTAGGCCTCCCAGAGAGCTAGGATTACAGGTGTGAGCCACTGCGCCCGACCCCTCACCTAAATTTCTTACTCTTTTATAATAAGTAATGTGTTCTACTTTAGTTTTCCTGTGGGGATGACTTGTTTAATAGATTTGGGGACTCATTGTGCTGCTGTTGTAGAATCTCACAAAGGCACTTTTGTGGCAGCCTCCTTTGGCTTTCAAGGACATGACTGTTTCATCTCTTGAATGTAATTCTCTACCTTGGTGCAAATGTTAATAAGTTAAATGTACATCAAATAAGAATTTTAGTTCAGCTCATCATATGTTTTATGTATTTAAGTTTAAGAGTCAAATTGGTATAATTGGTTACATTACCCATTTGCTCTGATTTGAGATGCCAAGTGATTGAAAACAATTTTAATTTAGAAGTGAATTACCTTGCTCATTTAAATATATCATTTTTGCATAATTTGAACTAATTTATTGTGCAGTTTTCCTTTTAAATGACTTAAATGATGTCTGCTGAGATACTCAAAGCCACATGATTAGTGGAGTCATCCTGAATATTTCTCTGTGTCATAGGGTTGGAAAATCTTAAAATGCAAGTTGTGTAGCAGACGTTGTCACAAGTTTTATCTTTTCTCCATTAATACATATTTTTCTGTTTTGTTTTGTTCTTAACTCACTTCTAGGCTGCTTTGGGTTTTCCAGAGGGAACACACTTCGCATTAGGCAATGGCTTGCCCTCCTTTTTCAACTCTGTCCTGATTCTGTGCCATTTTCACTGGATGTCTGGCTCACCTCTCAGTTCTGCAAAGCAAAAGCTGATTATTCACTTGGTGAGTCACAGTGAGAATCCCCAAGACAATGCTCTTGATTCGGACTGAGGTTCCTTCAGCAACTGTTGCTTTTTGATGATGCATTTTAACGAGCTTTTAAAAAATTTGGACACCAGACTACCAGCTGGAGTGGCTAGAACCTGCAATCCTAGAATAGTGTTTTTCAGTCTTCAGGTCCTGGGTTATGAAATGATTCTGGGGATTGTGACAAGCACTTAAGAAGCAATGAAACAGATTAGACAATATTAGAATATATTACCTGTGATAAAGGTAATTAAAGTGGCATAAAATTTTTGTATTTTGTGTGTGTGTGTAACTGCTTTATGATAAAAATTATATCTATTTTGTGAGTTGCTGTCCAAAGAGTTTGAAAGCCACTGCCTTGGATTTAAAGCTGTCTGATGTAATCTGACAATATAGCGGTTTGAAATGACAGTATGTTTGAAGTATAAGTGTAGATAGCTTTTAGTTACATATTTTAGAGGAACTGGCAGGTTGCTTTCGTGACTGAGAAGCCAAACTCTGTCATGACAGGGCATTTCCCAAAGGGCCAAGACCCAGTTAACCCCATGTCGTTGAGTTTTGTAGGAGCCCAAATACTGTGTCTCTGAGAGGGTCTGAGGCAAAAGGTCACTCGTGTAGCCTGTGGTATTGCTGCTGCCCTGCCGAGGTTGTCTGTTGGCAGTGCTGTGTCTTACCAACCAGATCAGAAGCACCCAGTTTTCCCAAGATCTTAATCTGCCAGGACGATGGCATCACACTTTTTCCCCATTAGTAGGACCTGTACTTTGCTTGGATGGCCGGGAAATTCCAATCCTTAACTCTCCTCTTTGTTAGAGAACCTCCCCTTTCTTTCCCACTGGGTCTCAGGAAGATGGGAGGCAGAGTTAAAGGTTATTTCTGTTTTATTCATACCATGTGAGTCTGTGCTTTTGCGTAAAAGCTTTCTCATTTAGAGGAAAGTTCCATCCCTAGAATTAGAAAATTAATCCTTAATCAGAGTAATGCATCGTCACACTTTGAATGTGCTAATGACCGTTGGAGAGAGATGGCACACGTGTCTCCAGTTGATAGATGACCTTTTAAGAGGATATGTGATATCCTCACCAGGACTTGACTCAGCTGGGCTAATACACTTCAGGACCAAAAGAATCCTTAGGGCAGGAAGTGACCTCTCACTTTTCTGACTCTTGCCCACTGAAGTTCCCCCAACTTATACTAATTTTGCAATCTACTTTCTTTTCCATTAAAATGGCTCCCTATTGAATCAGTAGTAGAATTTGCCATATTGTGTCACTTGGCTTTTTTCATCTGCTTGTAGTAAATAGTTTTTATCTTTTTTCATAGAATAGCCCTCACCTACATTTTTTACTATAATGCATTTATTTTGACCTTATTATTGCTGAAAATGAACTAAACTCCTTCATCCCTGCTCCTCCCATCCTCTGCCCCCCAATCTCCATCAACCTTTTCCTATTATCCAAGTTTTTAAATATGTACTCAAGACAGCAGTCAACAAAGATTGAATCTTTACATTTTTTTTTTACATGAAACATTTTCAAGAATAGCTATAACCCCTTTTCTTAAGGACCCTGTAGGGGAATTAAGGAAACAAGGTAGGTAAATTTCTTAACAACATTAAAATTTCATGCTAAAATATTTTCTACAGTTCAAAACATGGCATAGGCCTATTTAAGGGGACAAGCCTTCTTATAACTTACCTTGCAGACCCTTATGTTGTTCTTGAGAGCAGAGTTATGGAGAGGAGGGGGGACCCAATCTTTCCTCAGTGCTTAGTTTAAATGAGAAAAGTGAGATGGTCTCCCAAAGCACTAGAATCGGTTTTGCCCTCAGCCTCTCCTTGGTTGTAAATTCTTACAATCACAGAAAATAGAGAAGAAAGAAACTTGGTGTTTATTCTACCTGTCTTATTTTACATAGTAGGAAATTGAGGCTCAGAGATAGGAGGTCATTAAGATCATCCAATTATTTAGTTGATCACTTGACTAGAGTGGTTTTAGAAGGGATGCAGAAAGTAGAAGTCTTGGAGAGGCATTTAGGAATTGTAATAGTTGACCCTGAATTCGTGGTGGGCTGAGGGAGAGGGAAGATTCCAGGATGCTGCTTGGGCCTGTAGCTTTAGCATCTGTGTAAATGAGAGGCATTCGTTTTCATAAGGAGAACATAGGAGGAAAAGCATATCTGCAGGGGAAGATTGTGAGTTTAGTCTGCAGGTGCTGCATATCAGGTGCCTTTGTGAATGCAAGACAAGGTATTACAATTGAATATACACAGGAGGAAAACCATGAGAGTCTTGAGTCTTGAAAGTTGTGTAAAGAGAGTATTTCCGAGAGGAAGTTATTATCATACACAGCCTCTGTGAAGCCAATGAAGATAAGGGTGGAAGCGTGTCCATTAAGTTTAGCTATCAGGAAGTTGGTGGTGACCTTGGCAAGTGGCATTTCAGTGAAGCTTGAGGCTAAAGGCCAGACTGCAGCGAGCTGAGCAGTGAGCAGGAGGCTAGTGAGAAATAGACACAGGGGATATAAAGAACTGTCAAAAAATTTGGAACAGTCAAGGGGAGTGGAGAAGTAGGGTAACACCTGCAGGAGGAAATGGAGAGGGATGATTTTATTTGATGTGGGAGAGAGTTGGGCATGTTTAAGTGCCCATGGTAAAGGGCCAGTTTTTCTACTGAAGTAATTTTTCTGTTTTCTGGCTTGTGCCTTCTGTCTAAAGGTCTGTGCAGTTCCTGGAAGTCATTGAGCAGATCTTTTGGGAGCATTAGAGTTATCTTTTTCTGATCCGTTATCAGCTAACTCTTCTATTTATTTATTTATTTTGAGACAGAGTCTCGCTCTGTCCACCCCAGGGTAGAGTGCAGTGATGTTATCGTAGCTCACAGCAACCTCAAACTCCTGGGCTTAGGCGATCCTCCTGCCTCAGCCTCCCGAGTAGCTGGGACTATGGGCGCCACCACGATGTCTGGCTAATTTTTTTTCTATTTTTAGCAGAGATGGGGTCTCTCACTCTTGCTCAGAACTGGTCTGGAACTCCTGAGCTCAGATGATCCTCCCACACTGGCCTCCCAGAGTGCTAGGATTACAGGCTTGAGCCACCGCGCCCGGCCTTCATTAGCTAACTGTTGACAATCAGCTCTTGTTATCAACCTATAGGCCTACCTTCCTCTTGGACTACTTCCCGCATGCTCATAATCACATTAGAGAAAAAGGATCTCTCCAATTTGTTAGTGGGGCTAAAGAGAGCAAAACCAGTTTCCCCTTAGTTTAAATTGGCTTATATGTGAGTTCAAACTGGGAAATTAACATTTTAGACCAGTTTTTTGTAAAAGATTTGCATAAATCATTATTTATGATGAATATGAATTACATATCTGGTAACTGGCTCTATATTTACTTTACTATTATTTATTGATTACCTACCATGTATCAGGTACCTAGCATGAAACATTGAGAGATGACCTAAAAGTCTTGATTTTTAAGTATTTGATATTTTGAAGGTAAATTTCTGGGGTTTTGATGCTTTTCTGCATTTTTGGTTCAATAGTCTCTACTATGTCAAAACAATGTTCTTTAAGTTATAGCTGAAACTCTTTATGGACACCCTATATCCACATTCCCTTTCTACTTCTAAAATGGGCCTTGCAGTGAGATTTTTTAGTAGAAAAAAGGGTCCTACTTCCTGTTGAAAATGCACAGTCCCAGGAGTGGTTGAGAATCGCCCTGGTCACGGCAACACGCCCTGGTCGGCGCTGGGTGTCCACGGCACCGGGTGTCCACGGCACCGACCTGACTGGACTGCTCCTGGGGGCTCGCCTTGGCTGTGTCAGCTGCCTGGCCTCGCTCAGTTCCTTCTCTGCATTGAGCCTGCTTCTTCTTGCTTCACTGAGCTCTCTAAAACCCTTCCAAGAACTTTTCTGCTTAGATTAGCTTGAGGCAGTTTAGGTTGTTTGCCATCAATAACTCTGACAGATTCAGAAAGTCACCATGGAATAATAAAGCAACTAACAGAAACATTTATTGTCAGCTAATCTTTGTGGACTGTAGGTATTATGTCAAATGCTTTCAATAAATGATGTCACCAAATCCTCAAAACAGCAGGGTGATGCAGGCATATGGGTCTGTTTTTTCAAGAATCACCTCAAGGGCCTCCTCCTCTTTCTTTCTTTTTCTTTTTTTTTTTCTTTTTTCTATGGAACACCGGGTTTGTCATACCACCCACGGGCCTCTTCTTCTGTGAAGGCTTCTCTGACCTCTGGCAAATAGACTTGATTCTTCCTTTGTGTCCATTCTGTGTCCTATACAGGAGAGAATTGTGTGTGTATATATAGATACATATAAAGATGTATATAATATAGATGATACATAATCATATAGAGATGAATGATTTTTAATGTAATGTGTAATACACAATAAAATGTATATACATATTAAGTATATATGTAATTTTTATTTCCTTACCACTTATTATGCTCCTACTATGTGTAAGATACTGTGCTTAGCAGTTTACTCACATTATACCATTCACACTAGAACTCTATAAATTAGATGTATTATCTATTTTACAAAAAAAGGGAATGAGAACAAGAAAGATTACACAGTTATTTCAAGATGTATCTGTGAGTCGCAGAGTCGTGATTTGAACACACTTTGTATTGTTTTGTTTTGAAATACAATGCATCTGCTCTTAACACTGCATGCTGCCTGCCCTCTGTCACTGCACTTCTATGGGTGATGCTTCCCTCTAAAACTGGACCGAGGCAGAGCCTACATTTTACTTGCCTTTTTCCCTCCCTCAGTTGCCTAGGAGGAAGGCAAGTCTGTGTCACTTCTGCCACTTCACCCATTCCTGTGTCCACAGCGGGCTTCACTAGTCAACCAGTGATTATGCTTTGTCCCAGTGTGACATCTCAAGAATCCATCTCCGCCATTCTGTAGGAAGTCACTCCTAAGTGGTTAGAG